ATAAAGACCTAGCAACTTGAAGTAAGTGTTTATGTTTGCATTCCACCACTCCATTTTGTTGAGGAGTGTAGGGACAACTTCTATGGTGCATAATGCCATTTTTCGAAAAAAAATTTTGACATTGATCATTCAAAAATTCAGTGCCATTGTCAGTCCTAATGATCTGAGCTTGGCTATGATATTGTGTTTGAATCATTAATAGAAAATTTTCAAGAATGGTGCTAACTTGAGTTTTGAACTTCATCATAGAAAGTCCATGTGCATCGGCTGTAGTCATCAACATTGGTTAAAAGTAACTGGAATCTATTGTTTGTGGAAAATTTATATGGCCCCCAAATATCAACATGAGGTAAAGAAAACAATGCATTACTATGAATAGAGCTAGACGAAAAGGGATTCCGTTGTTGCTTAGAAAGAGGACAAACTTCACATATATTAATATTTGAATCCCTTGGAGAAGTATGAATACAATTGGAAAGATGTTTCATCACAGAGTTAGAAGGGTGTCCTAATTATTGTTCCAAGTTGCAAAAGTAACCACTGAACAAGCCCCTTTTTCGGTGGTAGAATCACAAAATCTTCTAGCTCTAAGCATATAAGATGCATATAACTGCTGGCTTTGCAAAATAGCTTGAGTAAATGATTCTGGGTTTAAGATGTAAAGTCCCTTAATGACTTTGCCAGCTGCTAAAACCTGTCCATTTTTAAGGTCCTGTGACAAGCAAAAATTATCGTAGAATTGAAAAATCAGGAAGTTTTGGGCTAATTTTCGAACTGAAAGCAAGTTGTGTTGGAAGGAAGGTATGTACAAACAACCAGTTAAGGTTAGTGTTGGTGAGAATACTACATCGCCAATTTTATGAACTTGTTTAATACTTCAATCCGGCAAACAAACAGGAGTATATGAAGTAACATCTCTAAGATTAATCATATTTTCTAAGCTACAACTCATATGGCATGTGGCTCCTGTGTCATCAATCCAATCGTCCTTACTTAAATAATCAACAGATGCAGAAGTAAGTAAAGGTAAGATCTACCTGCAAATTCGCGGAAGTGAGCAAAATTCACAGAAGATGCTGAATTTCCCGTTGCTCCTTCAAAATGTGCTTTGCCCTTCATCATTCTGCAAATCTCTTGTTGAACAACATCAGCTATCATGTTTTGCCCATCTTTGTTGTCATTTGATGTCTCTTCCAATGGTGTCTCCGCAAGATATGCATTCTTGCCAGTGATGTGAGCTTGTGGCGGCTTCCACCATTCCGAAAATCCTATTATCTGAAAACAACTCTCATTGAGATGACCAGTCCTACAACCATGTGTGCAAAACAAATGACTTTTATCTGATTTTTTGAAACCAGCCTTGCTCCCAGTAACACCAGGTTTTGAACCTTCTTTACTAGCACCTTGTGATTTGACCAACATGGCTGAATTATCACTAGTCACAGAATTGGACGTACCAACACTCAACTGCTTGTGTTTTTCAGCTTTAAGTAACATGGAATAAACCCTGCTTAAGGTTGGAGGTGGTTCCAACATCATAATTGAGCTTCTTTCAGGCTCATACAGATCATTTAATCCCATCAAAAATTGCATAACTTTGTCCTCCATCTCCCTTTCTTGGATTTGCTCTCGAAGGGCTCCTTCGGCTCTTAGAGAAGGCCTAAGTTGAATCAATTGATCTCAAAGTTGCCGAAACTTACTGTAATAGTGTTGAACAGACAAATCCCCTTGTCTCATCATTGAGATATCTCGTTTCAATTCAAAAAGCATAGGTGAATTACAACTACGATAAGTCTGAGTTATCTCATCCCACAATTCTTTAGCATCATTGATAAACATAAAATCAGGAGCAATTTCACTCGAAATTGAGTTTTTAATCCAAGACAATACCATACTATGAACTCTTCGCTTTTAATCCGAAACAATACCATACTATGAACTCTTCGCCACCTTTTATAGGTTGGTGAATTAACAGCAGGCTCTCTACAAGTCCCATCCACAAATCCAATTTTATTCTTAGATTCTAGGGCAGTAATCATAGCATTTCTCCAAATCAAATAACTCTTATCAGTCAAAGGACAATTAATAATCATCATACTAGGTGTTTCTGAACCATGGAGCTACAGTTCGTCATCGGAATCGTTGAACAACAGTCGCTCCCTCAGATCTTCCTGGGCTTCTTCAATATCCGATTCGTGATTTGTTGCCATCTTTCAAGAAATCGATCCGTATATCAACTAATTAAGCTGTGGATAAGAAAATTTTGTCAAAGATTTTAGAGTGTGTACGAAGAAGAAGGGAATTACTTTTCACTTGTAAGAAAAAGGAATTGTTGCAGCAAATATATTGGCCTAACTACGTCAAAATACTCACTCCTATAAGCTAATTCATCTTTTTGCTATTTACAACTAAGGGCTTACACATTTACAAACTACACATTATACCACATTAGTCAACTGAAATTCTGACCTTTCTTTACCAAGCCTTTTCTTACAAACTGAAAATGTTAAAAATACAAGTATTTTCCGGGAATCAAACAAGGAAGGAAATGAAAGTCACCCCCTTGTTCGCAGCTGCACTCCTCTTTTTTCTCTTAAAAAATAAGAGTCTCTTATTAACCAAAAAAAAATGAAAAAAAAAAAAGAGTCTCCCCTGTTCTTGCAGTATAAAGTCTGTAAAGTTAGATTACGTTTTCGATATTCTACTGCATGTAAAGAACAAATTCAATCCAGTATGTTCTTTGATCAAACATTTGGGTAACAAAAACTTAACAAAGAAATAATCCAATCTTAAAAGAAAAACTCGAAAGCCAGCGCATAAGAGTTGTTCCTCCAAAACAGTTAGTACAAATGGAAAACCGTTTGATTGAAACAGGGTAGATGCTTGCTCATTTGCTTTCTCAGGTGCATCACATTTGGATAGCTGACGGCATTTTCAGATTGCTTGATTCCCTTCCAATGGCTGGCATTACGAAATGTTAATGATCAACTTATCATGCATTCATTCATCAATTTACAGCGAAGAATATAGTGACATACAGGACCGTATTAATTTTTTCAATGAAGGGGAAACAGGTTACGACAAATTTAGTTTGATGTGCGGAAAGTAAAGGAAGGAAAGATAAACAATAGGAGTTCTACCCAATTATGAGTCTCATGATCATATCTTAATAACAAAAATTTCGGAGGGGAGGCGATATTATTAGTACACAAACTACATGGAAATACTCCTTCCGGTCCTTAATATAAGTAATTTTGATATGTCTTAGTTTTTACCTAGTACGCATTTTAACTGACGAAATAACTTTAAAAATATATTTTCAATTTTGTTGTATTCACTTGATTATTATAAAATATTTTTAAATTTTTTTTGACAATTAAAAATATTACTATGTGAAACCTATGACAAATCAAATATCTTATATTAAGAACCGGAGGAAGTACTATAGTATCTGGAAAACGAAAATGTTCCAAGATCGTACGAGACATGAGCTAGTCATGAACATAGGTTTAGTAACAGAAGCTACCTCGTAAAGTAACCAAATTAACATGCTTTTGAGAAGCAATTGCAGCACAAAAAATAGTGTTTCCAGCAATGGCGCCATCATTACACAACTTCAAAGAGAATGTCAAACTGTCGAGGCTATTCTGACTCTGCAAAAGGAACAAATACACCGAAGCATGTCCTCAAATTAGAAAAAAGTAAAATGATATCGTGATTAATCACGATTCCTTTTGCAATATGGCTAAACACTCTCACATGATACTGTTCTTGTCCAAAACTATTGTCTATTGAACTACGATAGTACGACAAACATGACTATTTTCTTGGAGGCAAGACTTTTCAACACCAACTCTTCCGAACCATTAACATGCCGTGTTATCCTACGTACTCCCTTCGGTCCTTAATATAAAGCATTTAGTTTTATTCTAATTTTCACTTAGTACGCATTTTTTATTAATGAAAAAATCTTAAAAACATTTCATAATAATCAAGAGAACGCAACGAATGCGAAAATATATTTTTAAGGTTTTTTCGTTAATTAAAAATGCATATTAAGTGAAATTTAGAACAAAATCAAAATGCCTTAGATTAAGGACCGGAGGGAGTATTGTTAATCAAGTTAGAGAAATTATGTTATTAATCCTTCCATGAGCATAACAGTGACTACAATGTATATGTTGCAGAGAGATTTTCTTTTTGTAAAGAGACTACTTACCCGACTATATTGAAGATTCATCTGAAATGTATTCCATTAGAACTTCCTCATAATTCCTGTACCGAAAGGAAAATAGAAACATATCAGGCTTTTTAGTTCCAAACTGACTTCCGAGCGAAAGCCGCAACTTCCTTCCATAATACTCCTTCGGTCCTTATCATAAGGCATTGGAAAAAAAACCTCAAAAGATATATTTTTACAATTGATGTGTTTTTCTAATTATTAGGAAATGTTTTTAAAGTTTTTATTTCAACTAAAAAGATTTTCTAAGTGAAACTTAGGACAAATCAAAATACCTTATAATAAGGAGCAGAGGGAGTAAGACTTAATAATTGTTTACGACAATTCCATTGACAATCATCAAATCAGTATTAAAATCACGCAGAAAAAGATTTTAACTTCAGACATTAAAGCTGTTGCTATCCTTTTTCCAGCCAAAAATCACATATCAGAATATGAAGGGAAAAAAGAAGAAGAATAAAACAGAAAGACTAGTTGCAGAGAACTTATTTTACAAGTCTATTAAGAGTATCAAAACCGGAATTGAAAAAAGATAGCATGAATCAGTCTATGATCATATTAACATGATAAAAAATATTCATGTTAAAAGAAAAGATATCACATTACATTAACAACAATACCAGTAGTGCCGCCTACAACATATGTTTAGCTACTGCCACAATACAATTGCTTACTTAATTTTTTTGAAAAGGAAACAGATTGAGGAAGACACGAAGAAAAGAAAACGGAGGTTGGTATAGCAAACAGATTGAATTTGGACTTACTCTTTTGTTAGTGGTTGGTCATTGAGATATATCCGTCGATCTTCATTTCCTAAATCCATTTGCATTTCATGAATTTCTTTTATCGAATTAATGACTCGTGGACAGTCATTCACCTTAATCATCTGAAGGGTTGAACTTTGTGCTATACAAGAAGGGATCTCCTCTAAGCGAGGGCAATCATTCAGTATCAATGTCTCAATAGACGGGAAGTTGTCATCCGAGGCTGTTGTCCATCTCTCTAAACTCACCATCAATTTTATTTCCAAAACATTGAGTTTGGGGAATGTTCCTTCTTCTTCCATGTTCCATTTTTCCCCAGAAAATGAGCTGTAACTCAATTTCAGAAATTCAAGACTCGGTAGTCTCTCAATAGCTGAAACTTCACTCAATGGAAGGCCAATCCATAGCAGAGAGCGCTCCTTTAGACTCTGGGGAAGGTACAACCCACTTAAAATTGAATGTGAAGATCTGACGAAGAGTGATTCGAGTTGATTCAAAGTGAAAAATTCCACAGTGCACTCTCCATCCATATCAAGATAACAGATTAAGCTACGGAGATTAGGTAACTTCTTCAATACTCCTATCCTGATTTGACAACTGGAAATTTCTACTTCCGAGAGTGTCAGCAAGTTCTCTAAATTGGCTACAGGAATCAGTGATGGTAGTACCCACATACTAGTTCCTCCCAGATGCCTTAATTTTTTCATATCCCAGAGGGTATCTGGCAACAAAACTCTCGCACTACCATCAACATACAAAGTCTCCAAATCTGAGAGATTGACAAATGAAGGTGGGATGATCATTGATGAACGAGAAGAACTGCGAAAGCCAAGTACTTCAATTGGACAAGTTGTAGAATCTTACACGGAAATGTATCAAACTCAAATTCATGAGTTATGACAAACGGTCGTCACAACTAGTCAAATAAATTCACCTACTTAACACTAGTATAGAGGAAAATAGGGTCGTACCCACAGAGAAGGAATACTAATTACCAGGTATAAATTACTCCTATTATTATCTAGAAAAATGATGATCTCAGATTTTCAATTAAAATAAAACTAAAGTTAGAATCTAAAATATGCAATTACTTTCAAAGGTTGAAACAATCAAGTTGGGAAAACCTAGGACATTGGGTTCACCTTCGAATATCAGGTCTGACTCAATTCATAAATATCTGACTTTTAACTTTCATTAAACCTACAACGATTCACCTAATTAAGAATTACACACTCTCGCGCTATAATTCTCTTACTTAGATTAGCCCTATGACTACTCTTGTGACTATAGGATTAACAAAAGTATATTAAGAACTTAAGAATCTAACGTTACAAAGGTTGTGTTCCTACTGTCGTGGTTCACTACCTAAGTCCAATATTCCCATGAAGTAATATTAATTTTCAACTGTTGTTCTATCAATTAATATCTTTGAACATGCAAATAGTGGCCAGTTACAAATATGGAATAAAAGCAAGAATATTAAATATTGATCAATAGAAAAATCAAACTATCATGAATCAAATAAACCAAATAAATCCAGCGGCTACATCCAAACCCTAGGTTAAACGAATTTAGCTACACATTATCTCAAAAATAAAAAAAACAAAAACAAAAGAACCCGGAACGAAAGATCAAATTCAATGCTGCTCTGCTTCTCCTGCACGTGTCCCTTCCAATGATGTGCGTAGATGGATGTTGGACGTGAGGTGGTAGGATTTCGATGGTGAGGCGCAAAGGTGATGGAATGCTAGAGTTGCGTGGAGCTGTGTGGGTTTTGTGCTTCGGTGGTGCGTGGGAGTGGAGAGATGATGAAAGGGTGGTCGTGGAGTTGGGCAAGGGGGTACGGCAAGAGTGGTGGAAAAAAAAGTGGTGGTCGGTGGAGGATTTTTGGTGAAGGACGTGAGTTTTCGATCAAGTTCTTGTCCCAAAAACTCAAAACAAACTCTCTTTTTATAGATCTTCAAAACTCCAATTTTTTGGAGATTAAGTTTGCTTGTTTCCCAATTAAATTATGATCACACTTTCTTTCGAAATTCCAGCTTCCCGCAGCACCGCCTCAAATTGTCTTCTCCGCGGCTTTGTCCCGGCCAAGGAGGAGCAACCGAAAAACCTAAAGTCTCGGCCTAAGAAGAAGTAGAAAGCTTGGGCTTTCTTAAACTGGACTTGGCTTTTCTTCTTGTTTCAATTAAAATGAATTAAAGATGGGCCGTCCACGTTGCTTCTCTCAGCTTAACCTAAGAAAAGGGTCATAAATTACATATTCCATCCTCTAATTCTTTGAATCTTCTATTTTCTCCCTCATCACTGCTTCCAATCCTCAATTCCACCCCTTTTAGTTGCTCTTTCTTTTTAATTTAGTCCAAAACCTCAACAATTTTTCCATTTGAGTACAATTTCTACAATCAAAGATGAAATCATATAAATAGCATATTTATACTCAAAAAATTGGCAAAATCTCGCATACAGGGATATTAACAATAGAAAAATTATGAGCACATCAAATACCCCCAAACTTGAAATATTGCTTGTCCTCAAGCATTTCCAAGAATTAAATATCATATAACACATAGATCTCGACTACCTCTAGTATGGATTACCTAACAAAATGCAAACCATATGCACTTTTAGCCCCCACGCTTTTGTGTGTGTGCGATCCGTTTCTCAGGGACATCACTTTACATTTAACATAGAAAATAAAAGCTCTACTGCAAATATGTCATTTTACTTTAAAAACATACTCACATAATGGACCACCAAACATACTATGAAGTAGAAGGACTTATCTTGACATACAACCTATTCCCCCTCGTAACCCATTCTTCGGTCCATGCGGCTTTTCTTCAGGACTCTACCCAGAGTATTTTTTCACTCCTATACGTAGTGGCTCAGCAACATAGGGCAGTCTACATATCTATTTTTCCTCACCGGGCCTGAGGACTCTCCGCTCAGGTTGCCAATTCCTCACCTCTCAATGGGGCGAGCATCAACATTGAATGCTCTTCCTTTCTCCCTCATTAAATTTAACCTAACCTCAGAATCATCCGCCAACACCCCTCCCCCAAACTTACTTAACACAAAATGTCAAAGCCAGAAGGTTTTTTTAAGGCTGATATTGGGTTAATGCCTTTGCTTTTCCTTCACAACATGATGGGTTCCACATACAAATCATATAAGTATGAGTAAATCAAACACAACTTTTCATGGCATATCTACATCAAACTCATGAAACTCTGTCTCACTTTAGGCTTATCCCACATGCACGACTAAGTGCATATAAAGCAGGGTATTCAAAGCAATATAGAAATACATAAGTTAAGCAATACAATTCAAAATAGTCTAATTCTTACATGTTATAGATAATCAAACCAACTTCATCGTAGGCCTTTTTGGATTTTTCAATTTTTTCAATTTTTTTCAATTTTTTTTTTAAACACAAAACACAATACAAAACACAAATATTCCTCTCCCCCATACTTAAAGCATACATTGCCCTCAATGTATAAAACACAAAAGACAAGACAACCAAGTTAAAAGAAAAGAAAAGACATAAACAAAAAGAATGACAAGAAACGATACAACCTTAGGAATGTGAAGCGGAGGACCGGAATTGTTAAATAAACTGTTGCAACTGCTATCCAAGCATACGACCAACTTCTTCAGAATTTTGGACGTTTCATTTTCAGCACCACTGGACACCAGAGTTGCGCACCAACAAACCTAATTGCAAACTAAATTAAATTTAGAAAAACAAACCTAAAAACAGATGATTAAGAAAAATCAAGAAAATCCAGAAATCAAAGATCTCAAGATAATCAGGAACAAAAAACTTAACCATTAACTTATTAATGAAAGAAAAAAAAAATAAAAATAAATAAATAATTGGGTTGCCTCCCAATAAGCGTTTCTTTAAAGTCATGAGCCGGACTTTATGGCTGATCAATCATGTGAACGGTCACTCAAAAAGTAAGAAACGTCTTGTGGTACCATCTCTCCAGCTACATATAACTTCAGCTACTGTCCATTAACCTCGAAAGGACCATGCACATCATTTTGAATCTCAATAGCACCATACGGGAACACCTTAGTCACGGTAAATGGTCCAGACCACCTTGAACGGAGTTTCCCAGGAAACAGCTTTAGTCGCGAGTTAAAAAGTAAAACCTGCTGACCTACTTCAAAGTCCCTCTTCTGAATATGCTTATCATGCCAAAATTTAGTTTTCTCTTTATAAAGCTTTGCACTCTCATAAGCATGCAATCTAAACTCTTCCAACTCACTCAATTGTAGTAGTCTCTTCTCTCCAGCAGCTTTCAAACTCATATTCAACTCTTTCACAGCCCAATAAGCTCGATGCTCTAGCTCCACCGGTAGATGACATGATTTCCCAAACACCAAACGATATGGAGACATACCCAAGGGTGTCTTGAAAGCTGTCCTATAAGCCCAGAGAGCATCATCCAATTTCAGGGACCAATCTTTCCTCGAACGCCCTACTGTCTTCTCAAGAATTGTCTTCAATTCTCGATTAGCCAACTCTGGTTGCCCATTGGTTTGAGGGTGGTAGGCAAGAGCAACCTTATGAGTAACACCATATTTCTTCAAGAGCGCACCCAAATTCCGATTACAAAAGTGGGTCCCTCCATCACTAATGATAGCTCATGGAACACCAAATCTTGTAAAAATAATCTTTTTGAGAAATTTAATCACTACACGAGAATCATTAGTTTGAGTTGCTATGGCCTCGACCCATTTTGACACATAATCCACCGCAACCAGAATATATTGATTGCTGAAAGAAGATGGAAACGGCCCCATGAAATCTACACCCCAGATATCAAAATGCTCGACCTCCAAAATACCATTCAAGAGCATCTCATTACGCTTGGAAATATTACCCATTCTTTGACATCTGTCACTTTTCTCCACAAACATTCTGGCATCCTTATACATGCTTGGCCAATAGAATCCTGACTGCCAAACCTTAGCTGAAGTTTTGGATGAACTGAAATGGCCTCCACACTCTAAAGAATGGCAATGTGTAAGTATATCTTCAAATCATCCTCTGGTACACATCTTCTAATAATCCCATCAGCACAAAACTTGAATAATAGTGGCTCTTCCCAGAAATAATGTTTTACTTCCCATAAAAACTTCTTCTTCTGCTGATAGCTGAATTCAGGGGGAATAACACCACTTACTAGATAGTTGACCAAATCTGCATACCATGGAACCGAAGAGAGAGCTAAAATTCTTTCATCAGGAAATTCTTCATTGATTGGAATCTCTACTTCTTTTGCTGGCACCACAATTTTAGACAGATGATCAGCTACTGCATTCTCAAGCCCTTTCTTATCCTTGATCTCTAAATCAAATTCCTGTAATAACAACACCCAATGAATAAGTCTTGGCTTTGCATCTTTCTTAGCCAACAAATACTTGATTGCTGCATGGTCAGTGTAAACTATAACTTTTGAACCAACTAGATATGATTTAAATTTATCAAAAGCAAAAACAACAGCAAGCAATTCTTTCTCAGTAGTTGCATAATTCATTTGAGCATCATTCATCAATTTACTAGCATAGGAAATAACATGCAACTTCTTATCCTTTCTTTGACCAAGAACTGCACCTAGAGTATAATCAGTAGCATCACACATCAAGTCAAAAGGTAACTCCAATCAGGTGCTGCTAAAATAGGGGCTGTAATTAAAGCTTTCTTCAAGGCATTGAAAGAAGTTAAACAATCATCAGTAAACTCAAAAGCTACATCTTTGTTCAACAAATTGCACAAAGGTTTATTAAT